AACAATTATATCTCAGAACTCATCTCTTTGGAGACACAGCGCACATTTCAAAGCGTCACCAAGAAACACAGACAGAACTTCAGAACTTTATAAACGAGTTTTATCAACTTCCAAGTCTGGGAGTCCAGAGACATCTTCCAAACTCCTGATAAACTTAAGAGTTATATTTAATTTAAGCACTCTCCCTAGATTATCCTATGAACTGTGGCACTGAGTTTTACAGAGCCCTAGGAATTGTAAAGAGGTACTCCAAGTATATTATTTTCCCTTTCCCATAGTGGCAGAATCAAGTAGGTCTTCCGTGAACAAACAGGTGTTTAGGGAATCCTGTGCAGTACTTTGGTTTCTTTAAGTAGTTTAAGGCAGTAGTTACAAATAATTTTTTCTGGTGGTTACACATGTAGCCCTGGAAAACTGATCTAAGCTCCAGTTTCAATCATTAGAAGTATTTTAGTTGCTTGGAATAACAGTTTCCTTATCATTATAACACACAGTTACCACTATGTGTGTTTTATCTTTGCTTCTCTTAAGAATCATTAACATTGGAAAATGGTGAAACATACAATATTTGTTTAAGACCTCCAGGACAGGAATCAAGAATCTTCTTATCTGTAAGAACTGTAGCACATTGCTGATGCAACACTGCAGTAGTAGAAAAGGTAAGATAGAGAACCAAGTTCACTGCAATCATGTAACAGAATGTACCAACAAGAACAGCCAAAAAATGCTGTTAGTAAACTGTGTTTTCCTCTTTACCTCAGGTAAGCAGTATCAAATTTTAAATACCAACTAATGCTCCCATAACCACAGAAAAAGAATGCTAAAAAAAAGTATCATATTTATCAGCAAACAGAAAAGACTTCGCACATGAATAACTTCATATAAGTGCTAGTAACAACTCCAGTCAGTCTCATTTGGAAAACAGTGACTTCGACTGAGAGCAAAATGTGACACTCTGCAAGGACGGCAACTTTTCAGTGGTGAATCAAATTATGTTTTCTTTCTGACGCTAGTGACTAAACATATCCATAAAAAACTCAGCAGGGGCAGGAGATGATGACTTTGGCAGCCTGCTGCTTCTCAGTTTCCTTATCATTTGCAGTTTGTGCACATACAAGATCGATGCTGTGATTCCAGGTTACAAATGCCTTTGGCGTGGGGAGGCAGGAGTCGTTTACTCTCATAAAATGAGAGCCTCCCAATGTGTGCCATTCCAAATTCACTTGCACGCTCTTTGACAATCAGGCACTTGATCCTTGACCTTGATAACGGGAACCTAACTGACTGCAAAGCTGACTAGTGATAAACAGCACATTTTAACCAAATAATTCCATCAGCTTTAGGCCATACAGTGCCACATTAGTATTGCAACCTGCAAACTCCGAGATAATAAAGACACAGTAGACAAAACTGAAAGTCTGATCAAGGTTACAAAACATACGCCATTGTGGCATTTAAATTACACTACTAATGAAGAAAAACAGCCTATATAGTATAACTGCAGTGTGTAGTGCAGTTTGTAAATTTTTATCCTGTCTGTCTTGGTTTGAGTAACAATAAAAACATTTTAAGTGAAATTCAACATAAATCTTCATTCTAAATTATTGGTAGAACAAAAGCTTTTACACACTGCCAGCCCCTTTATACAAACTGACCAGTTTGTTTCATGTAAAAAAATAAAAATAAAAAAAATCCCCCCTCCCCCCCAAAAAAATTAGGTTTTCCCAGCACAGGCTGTACCTAGTCTAGGATACTGTCAGTGTAGCTTCACTGGTAAATAACAAGTGCAGATAGAACTAAAACATTGTATCCATTAAAAAAAACAAACCACAACAAACAAACAAACAAACAGGATTACGTTAATTGTGCTATAAAATCTTTGTACAGGAGAGATTTATAATCAGCGCTAAGGAATTATTCCAATACATATTAGTTGTGCATTTCTAAACAGTAGATCAGCAAATAGAGACTGAAATAAGTTCATAAAGCACTTACTGAAACTCAGACAGTATGAAAGATTACATCTGAGGTAATCTTACGCTAAATTTATAAAGTTTCGTTATTAATATGCTACTTGCTTAATGTAAGTTCTCAGAACACACAATGGCAGTGAAAAAGCTGATAAACAATTGGGCCAGAGAAAGTTTAGAAAACCTCCCAAATCCGAATATTTATTGCCAGAATAAACAACAATTATATTAGAAAACAGTAACCAAACATAAGCCACTAGAAATTAAAACAGACACTCCCATACAACTCACAAAAAGAAAACAGATCAACTGAACCTGTAGGACCTTTGGTTCTGCAATGACCTGTAGGCAGGCTAGACTTCATTCACTCTTGAGCAGAAGTCAGAAGTGCCAACAACCAGTATGTGTGGGATTAAACCAACTGCAGCAGTACATGAGGACTGGGATTAAATAAAGATATCAGATCCTAGGTGCCAAAGGTATCTGTCTTTGATTTTAAAATAATTAAAAGCTTTACAAAAGACTAAATACTGAATTTACAGAACTTTAGCTTCACAGTGTTGTTTGCCAGCTTCACTAGTGAATCGTAGCTCTAAAGCTGTCTAAGAAGGAATAGCTGAAAAAAATTCTATTTTGATAGAAACTAGTTTTATTGAGGCTAATAGAAAATCTAAATGGAGTTATCAACTTCAACTACTTAAACTAAACAGCAAGTATTTACAATGAAGACTTTGCTGAAAAACATCACATAACATAATATTCTGTTGGCTCTTTACAGCATTGATGTACATTGTCACTTTGTCAGCTTCACTTTGTCAAGTATTATAAGTAATTACAACCTATTTTGCAGTAATTAATTCCCATGGATTTAGATGGGAAACCAGGAAGCAAAATCTCACTGCATTCTCAAGAGCAAATGCTAGGCCTGGTTGATGAGATATAAGCATAAATACTTCCATTACATATTCCTTTATTTCTACAATGATAATGAAAATAATGTTGCTTAATTTCAAATACTTGCTTTAACCTATATTACTAATCTATGCTGCAAACATTTCCCCTACATAGCATACAGCAACACGAACAACCAGTTCAGAATTGGTTGCCAGTAAAATCAAAAGCAAGGATGCTTAAGATTGGTTATAACAAAAAGGAGTTAACAATAGAATGTAAAGTTATCCACTGTTAGAATGTGCAAAGCATCTCCATTTAACTGCACAAGCTCTGAACTGAACAAATATCACTTCAAAACATGACATTAATGCAATGTGCCTGTTTCAACACTGTTTTGCTTTTGAGTATTTCCTATTTCTGTCAATAAAAAGCTACAAGGAGCATCTAAACTTAAATGACTCGCAGCATGCTACTTGGCTCTGTTGCTCTATCCCTGACAGCTTTTACAATCCAGTTCCTTCCACTTTCAGTTTATTTTCCTTTGTGTTATGCTCTGCACAGCCAGTTCTTAGGTAGCTAAAAAAAACCTCAATACATTAATTGCAGCAACATGGAGTACAAGACATATGGAGAACTTTTGTGTGCAACTATAACAGCATCTCAAACAGTCTTTTATGGACAAGGAAGAAGTTTAAATTGAATAAACTACTTAACATTGGCAGAGTCCAGCAATTTATTAACTCAAAAAAATTAATTGAATAAGCGAATACATATGCGAAATTGCTCTCAACAACAGGGCTTTTTAAATATAACACAACACTTCCAAAAAAATCATGTAACTGAATGTAAAATTCTATTCTGTTGGTTCTTTAAAACAAAGATATGTTTCCAGTAGGATTACCAGTGAAACAGCAGATGCCTTCCCTCACTATGACCTGTATACAGAAAACCAGCTTTAATATGCTATCCAAGAAATCAGAAGTAATAGTTAACCTGTTTAGAAACATGTTTATTTAAAAAAAATGGAGTTTCCTAAGAAGATGCAGCTTAGAAATTCCACAACTGAGACTGCAATATAAAAAAATACAATTATTCTTGCTCTTGACTGAAGAATGAAGATTGATATCTGTGTCTGTAGTTCAGCCTATTCAGTATGTTGAGACATGACACTGAAGCACACAAACTGTTGTACATTTCCAGAATTTTATAAACATAAGTAGATTAACACTGACCTCTTCCCCCATACCATCAAAACTCTCTGGCCTAAAAACATTTAGTTCTTCCAGTCTTAAAATACCTGACCAACTTTAACTGGCAGTAACAACTTCTCTGAAGGAAGAACGGAAAAATGCTCATGACCTCCATAGAAACAATACAGTTGGGAAGCATAACTGTATTTTGAACTTAGGAAAAATTATTTTGTAAATAATGAGCATCTGTCCTTGAACACAACCTTCTGAGTCTGCACTGATGTTCCAAGGCAAACTACATGTTAACATCCACAGCACAGCATTTTGAACGTACTAGGAGAAAATCATTCTATTATGTGTGAAGCATTTCAAAGAAAGTACGAGATACGAAAGCACTATTCTTGCGAAGTATTCTTTTTTTTAATGGGAAAAAGGTGCACAACTGACTAACAACACCTGACGTGCAGACCGGACGTTATGGAAGTAAACAATCTCTGAAAGTTACCAGCAAAGTGTGGAGCTCTAAACAGGCCGTGTGCTTGTGCAAACCACACAGGATCATCAGGTTGCACGACTAGGGCTGTAAAGAGAGCAGAGGAAACGCTGGGTGCTAAGGCAAACCCTGCCTTCTCTCGCGGAAGAAAACGTCAAACCTCTTGTCAATTGGGGAAGCAGGACTAGTGTAAGTGACACGCTGATGAGCCCGGCTGCTGCCAAGGAGCCAAGGACGCGCAGTAACTGCTGGGCGACCTAAGCGACGAGGGCTCCCACAGCCGGGTTCTGCCTCACAGAGCTGAGGCAGGAGAGGTCTGACCACTACGAACCCCTGCCCGCCCACAGCCCACTCCTCCACACCCGGCCCCGGCTCCCCGCCGCGGCCCACCCGGCCCTGCCCGTCAGCGAGAGGCGAGGCTGCCGGAGCGGGGATGCTGCTGCCACTTTTTACCTGAGCCAGGACCATGGTGAACACGCCCGTCCGCCCGCTGTAACACGCCGCCAGGGAGCCTCCCCAGACCACGGCTGCGGCGGCGACCCTCCAGCTGGGCAGGCGCCGCTGGCTGCGAGGGAGCCGCAGCCCGGCGAGCCGCCCCCTCAGAGGAGCGCGGGCAGCTGCCACCAGCACCGCTCTCCACGTCGCCATCTTCCCGGAAGCTGCGGTGGCGCCACCGACATCGATCCGGCCCTTTGGCCGCATGCGCAGAGCCGGGCCCGAGGCCGCGGGACCGGTCGGCAACGACCCGGGGGCGGGAGCTGTTTCTCCCTTTGGGAACGTGCTGGCCTAACTCGACCGGCGGGAGAGAGGCTGCCTGCACAGTCGTAGGGGACGGAGCTGGCAGAGAGGTAATGCACGCACAGGTGTGCAGGGTCTCACAGCAGTGACCGACGCCGCAGGGCTGCCTTCCTGTCTTAGAAACGCGCCGGGCTCCCGGTCTCTCACCCCTGGGCCTGACATGTCTCTCAAAGGTGAGGGGTGGTGGCCGGGCCCCGTTTCAAGCGTTTCGTTGAAAACAGCTCAAATGGAGGGGCAGGTCGGCGGGCAAAGGCTCTGCGCGGCCGACCCGGGCGCTCCTCCGGGCAGAGAAGCGGAGGGCCTGACCGCTTGCTGGCCTCGCCTAGCGGGTACCTGGCGGAGCGGGAAGGAGGTGTCCGGAGTCAGGCGTTTCGCTTTGTATCAGGGAGGACAGTAACCAAGGCCTCGCCTGTGTGCTGGAGAGTGAAAAGGGGCGATGCTTGTAGCTGTCCTCCGCCTGTGTTTCTCACAGCTTCATGTTACTTGAAGTGATTCTTCCAGAGCTTTAAGCACTGCAGAGTACACGAAGAGCAGTGGGTCACAAACTGGGTTTAAAATTCTGCAGGAGCCCAGTATGCAGAGTATGGCAGGTCTGGTGAGCTTGCACTAGCTGGGCTGACCTTACACAGAGTGCTGTGCCGTTGGGGTTTTCCAAGTGTCAGAGATGTCAGGTATGGATGCGGTGCTATGCTTATGTTCCAGACAAGAAACAGCAAAAGCAGTAATACATTTAGAACATCCTTTTCAACGGCAGAGTAGGTTTTCTTGTTAAATACAGGTGACAGAAGATACACTTACAGAAACTGTTATGGTAGAGGTGATAACTGAGAACATTACAGATTGACTTGACCAGGACTGATGACTTATGTCAAAGAAAACTATTCACTGTGAATGCTTCAAAATGCTTTTTTTGTCCACTACCATAGTTTTAACAAAGCTCTCTAGGCCTTGATAAGATTGAACTAGTTGATCACACTGTAATGTTAGTTGATCACTTTCAGACATCTGGCCATCTGGGAATCAGTGAAGAAGTGGAGAGGAAGCTGAATGTCATTTGCACATTGGCAATGCCAATATCCATATTTTTGGAGTTGTTGACCTAATGGCTCCATGTGAATGTGGGAAGAGACTGAGGAAAAAACTGCTGTATACAGTTTTCTAGTCTTTGGTTAAAGGCCTTTAGGAAGTACTCCGTCCATGTTAGCAAATTATAACTTTCACCTCTTTTTTGATACAACAGCCAGTACTGTGCTATTAACATTACAAATGCTGTGGTACAGGCTCTTAAATATGGAAATGCCTTTTTGCCCTCTATCCACTGACAAACAGGGATCATCCATCAGTGCCATTGAAGGAATGTTAGTTCACTGTCCTTCCCTGGCCTGAATTCGGAGTCATGAATTCAGTTTCATAGATGGTAATTTCAATCATCTAACTAATGGAATCTCAGAATTTATCCAGTCTTCCATTAGCATGTGTTGTTCACTGAGTGTCATTCTGTGAAGTGTTTGAGACATCCTCAGGAATGTGCCACCTGAGTCCTTAATAGGACACAAACCCTTCAAAAACACCTTCTCTGTGGAACACAGATGACTGCTCATTGCAAAATCACCCAGGAGTGCAACATGCAGGGTGAATGGTTTCCATCTCCACAGACTAATGTACGTTGCATAATCTTTTTCCTATCCCCAGAGACCTAAAAGTAACTCATACAGGAAAATACTTCCTAATCCCCAGATCCTGTAAAACAGCAGCAAAATCTCTATTGTCATACACAGACACACACTGCAGAATTCCATTTCTGCTGCAGAGATGTTAAAATCTGGAACAAATTCTTTTTTCCCTATTTCTGCTCCCCTCTAGACAGACAACATATTTTCCATCCCAGTCTTACAGTTTGACACTGAATATTTACACAACACATTAAGAGTACTTCCCTTTCTGCGTCAGCCAATAACAAGCATTTCATGAATGCTGGCAACATCCCTGAAATCTTGTAAAGGATGGCTGAGAGATCTGAATTCTGAATGCAGATCCCTTGACATGGAACACACAACCACAACACAGGTAAGCAGGTTTAGTTCAGCACCCTGCCAGCCTTTTTCAGATTTCCTTTGAGAAAGAGCAAAAAAGTAGGTCATTTGTCTTCCCTCTAATGACATTCCTGACTGGAACAGACACAACTGAAGCGTGGATGGAGAACTGCTCTCATATGACTGTAAGCACGCAATGCTGATTGGGAAGCTAAGTGTCCTTAGACACCCCTTCTCTCCCTGCAGTAAATTCACCCCATGTGTGCAGTGTCCAGGAGTGCAAAGCTACCACTGTGTTAATGTATTGCTGTAACCAGGCTGGTGTATTTGTGGGTGCTAGAACATATGCCTAAGTAGCTTGAAAACTCTTTGCTATTAAGACATAGTTCTGTTTCATCTCATGCAGAGCTAACGCAGAGTAGTTTATGATAGAAAGCAAAGATTGCTGTAGTCTGGAGGAATGACACTGACAGTCTGCTAAATATAACAGGAGTTTCATCTGAAAAATTGGGCTGCATGGTGACAAATGTCAACTGCTATGCCCTGTGGCACTGATTCAGAGGCTCCCATTCACGTACTTTTCAGTTTGCTCTTGCTTGGCTCTTGTAAGCAGAAATCATTACATTTAGCAAGCTGACAAAGCTTCTTTTTTAACAACTGCTTTCCACATGTTGACTTCAGACTTTGTACTAGTGATGTTTACGTTGCTGAAAAATTTGCAAAAGCAAATGAAAAGTCTAATCAAATATTTTGTTAAGAATGTAATTTTCCTGTAAGTTTCAATGTTCCACTGAATTGTTGTATAGCAGTATTTAAATGCAGTCATTTCTTGTTAGGCATAATAAACATAATGTGAAGTCGCATCAAAAGATGAAAACATACTACCATGAAACAAACCCCCTGTGACTCCTGTGATTCTTAGGAAATCACATTTGGCATAAACTTCATTTCTTCCAAGTTTTGTTAAAAAGTCAATAGTAAAAATTAAAAATACAAAGTATACCTACAGCTCCAGGCCTGTAGGTCCACTTCCATGTCTCAGTATCTTGTAAAAGTGTTAGGCCAAGTTCCAACAGGGATTCACTCTCTGCTAGAACTCCAATCCCCTCAAGAGCATTAGGCTTAGTGCCAGCATTCATTTACTCTTGTAACAGCTTAAATTAACTCCTGTTACATTCAATCTAAACCCTGTCTTACCATTTTAGATAGAATAAGAGTTGAGAGATTGATTCAGTCATCCAGTCTGAGGGCCACCCATCATGCTTGTCTGTGTTTCAGGACTTCAAATGCTGCATAAACTGGATTGGGGAAGGTGACCACCAGCCATTTGTGAATAGAGGGAGGAGCTGGCAAGCTACCTTTTATACACATGACCCCATTTCACAAGAAGTAACATGGAGGTGGTCTGGCTTACTTAGCCATATGTAGATTTCACAGTAAGCAGCAACAACAAAAAAAATTTAATAAACAAGGCACTGTGCTAAAATATTTTGGATACTTTCCTAGAGGAGCTGAACAGACAAGGTAATTTAAAGACAGGAAATATCACTGCTTGGGTTTGCAGGTGAAAAAGTGGACCATAGATTGAATTTTGCCCAAAGTCAAGAAAGGAGACTGAAATGGAAGTGCTCACAATGCCAGTCCTTCTTTAGCCCCCTCAAAATTAAGAATATCACTTGTCTTCTACCTTAGACATGAGTGCAATCTGTCTGTGATTACAATGAAAATAATCTGAAGCAGAAAAGTGGTATAAACATAAGGAAGACAAGTTTTGTTAAAAGTGATAAACTGAAATAATCCTTGCATACTTTTGAAAACTACAGAGTGATTGGATAAAAGTAGACAGTCGTTAAAGTTGACCAGCTGATACCTTGATCTCTCTCCAGAGTCTCAAAAGTCCTGTAGCAAGGTCTGTATGGTGGAGGCTGGGAGCTGACCAGGGATTTCCAAAGCTGCTTCCTATGCTAGAGACTATTATTCATAGACTTGTAGAATAGTTTGGGTGGGAAGGGACCTTTAAATGCCATATAGTCCAAATTCCCTGCCATAAGTAGGGACATCTTCAACTAGATGAAGTTGCTTAGAGCCTCATTCAACCTGATCTTGATTTTTTCTGTAATTTATCCCCATTCCTCCTCCACAAGAAAGAAAACAAAAAAACCCCAAACAAATAACAAGCACATGAGAGATCATTTTCAAGGAAGCTGAAATGCTTTCCTCTGATTAAGAAGCCTTAAGATAACAATGTGCTGTTAGTTTATAGAAAGTCCAGTTACTGTATAATATTTGGAGGTAATGGAAATAGCCCTTCCTGAATCTTCATTAGCGAAGACAGGCCTTCCTCACAGGAGAAGGAAAGCTCCTATCTTCAAACCCTGGCTGATGGAGCTCATCTAGCCTTGTATGGTCTTCCATCTAGGAGAAGGACACTTACAAAACCTACGACCTGTGGACTTCGCTGTCACCACCCTAGCTAGCTAGGCTGTGTCAGTTGAACCTCAGGTTTAAAGGGTGGGGCCAGTTCTGCGCAAGCTGCGCTTCACCTAAAAAATCCACTGCGCATGCTGGAAGGGCTTACTCTCACTTATCTGTATGGACGGGCGAGGGTCAAAACGGAAGGTGACAAGGTGCATGGGAAGCTGCAGATCCAACCTTGCATGCGGGCGAACCAGCGCATGGGTAGCTGGAGATGGCTCAGGAGTTGACAGTCCTGGTCGGACACTTCCTGATTGCCTAAGAAACCTTTTTTTCAACCAGACTTGCATATCCCACATGCCCTTGGTCATCATGCATGTAGTAAGTGTGGTTAAAGCCCTTCCCAAATCTTCACTCGCCAAGCCAAGCCATCAATTACCAGAGAGTCAACACTCATCCACTAGTAAGACTGAAAA